AAAATTGAAATTTTAATATATATTTATTATATAAGACATATCAATATTTTAGGTAATATTTAATATGATTTTTTATTTATTTTTATTAATAAAAAGAATAATTTTAAATATAAAATAAAAAGTAGGTTAGGTTTAAAAGAAAAGATATATACAACTTGTTAATATTGTGAATTCTAAAGTTTCATATTGGAAAGTTGTGTGTAAATATTAGTTTCATTGAAGTGATAATTTTATGATGAATCATTTTTATTATTTAGTAATATGTAGATATATGTATATTATTATATAAAAATATCATGAAAAGAATAAAACTAAAGTTAAAAAATCCAAATCCATTATTTGAATGTTGGTTAGAAGAATGGAGAAAAGAAGCTGCATCCAGAAATTCCGATTTGCAATATCATTTTTCGAAAGCACTCGCTGCGCTGAGAAAATATCCCCTACCATTAAAATCTGGAAAAGATTGTATAATATTGCAACATTTTGGAAAAAAATTATGCTCGATGTTAGATAGAAAACTTGAAGAATACAAAGTTCAGAATTCAGATTTAATAAATGCGAATGATTATACTTGTGAATATTGTACCCACAACGAACAAAATATAGTTAAAAGAAAATATAAAGTTCAAACAATTACAGATGATTTTGTACATCAAAAAGTAAATATATTTTTTAATATATATTTTTTAAATAATTAAGTAAATTTAAACATTAATAATTTAATTCATCTTTTATTTTAAGACAGAATTAATAACATTTAATAATATAAATTTATTGTCATGGAATGTAGAAAATTATGCTGTTTTATTGATTTTATATAAGAAATTTCAAGATTCTTGTTATTCAGGTATATTCTAAAGAATACTTTTAATTTTTGCATAAATAATTTTTTATTTATAAATAATATACTTATATTTTATTTAATATTAAAATTTGTTAGAATATGTTACTGAAGTAGATTTATTATCTGAAATAGAAGAATTATGTGGTTTTGCAACAAAGACTTCAATTTTAGATTTAGTCGAAAAAAATTTAATTTCCATGATATCTGATCATGAACCAATTAGGTAATGATGATTATTGAATTTGTATATAACATAAATTAATTAACTATTAAAAACAATATAATTTGTTTAGGTATAATCTTACAGAACATGGTATAAATATTTCAAGAAAGATATGTGAAGTTACAAGTATTGATGCAAAATCAATAAATTCTTTTGAAATATTAAATAAAATTCAAACATTTTTAGAGACATTGATTATAGAAAATTTAGGACTTCCAACAAATAATTCGAATGAAAATATTAAAAGAGAATGTTCTAAGAATATACAAAATAAAGATTTAAATTTAGAATTTCCAACAAATAAATTGAACATTGACAATACTAAAATACAAAAAGAATGTTTTAAGAGTATACAGGATAAAGACTCAAATAATTTTTCAAAAATATATAAATCCAAATCTGCAGAATGTATTATTATAAAAAATCATAGAGAAAAATCTGATAAGAATTTTGAAAAGCAAATAAAAAAATATGATCTTATAGAAAATGTGCAAGAAAAAACAAAAAATTTACAAGATAAAAATCATGTAGATAATTTAGAAAATAAAACAGATTCTATTGATAATTTTCAAAAAAATGTTTATTTAGAATCAAACAAATTTGATATAATATTATTAGTAGATACACAAGAAATTTCTGGGTATGTTTTATTTTATTGAATTTTAATATAAAAAATTTAAAAATATGATTTTAAATAATTTTAATATAGTGGTAAGACAAAACCTCAACATGATGATACTATAAAGGAATTAACACAACTTGATGTATTATTTGAAATACGTCATTTAAAAATTGGTGATTTTGCATGGATTGCTAGATGTAGAAGAAAAAAAATTGAGTTAATTTTACCTTATATAGTGGAAAGAAAACGAATAGATGATTTGAATGCAAGTATTATAGATGGAAGATTTCATGAACAGAAAGTAATATTATAATGAAATTATATTTATATTTACATATTTTTATATTATTTATAATTAAATAGAATTTTATCTTATATAGTATAGATTAAAACAATCTGGAATTACAAATCTCATTTATATAATAGAGGATCATGAGAAGAGTCAAAAATTGACAATACCATATTCATCTTTGATGCAAGCTTCTATTAATACTCTGATACAAGATGATTTTTCTCTAAAATATACTAAGAGCCATAAAGATTCTATGTTTTATTTATCATCATTAACTAGAATTTTGATTAAAACTTTTAAAGTAATATTTCTTTTACAGATTTTACAGATTTTGATATTTTAATTTATTTATTAATTTAATTATCTCAAAGAAAAAACTTTTCTAGGACAAGAACTTAATAGGTTGCAAAAAAGAAATTATTAAAGAAACAAATGTTAAATTGCTTCCTTCAAATATTTCAAATAATATTTATAATCTCATGGAATTTGAGGAATTTAATAAAGCAGCATCTAAACACAAGGTATATAATTGCATATCAAATTTATATAATATATATTTCTAATTATATTGATAAATTTTTTAGGTGTTTAAAGTAAATGAAATGTTTATCCGTCAACTATTACAATTAAAAGGAATGTCTGTAGATAAAGCTTTAGCAATTGTAGAACATTATCCAACCCCGCGATTGCTAATTGATGCTTTACATACACCTGACTGTAATGGAGAATTGTTATTAGCAAATATTCAATTTGGTAATAGAAAACGTCTTATAGGATCAGCGATTAGTAAAACAATTTATCAACTATATACAAAAAAACATTTTAATTAATGAATGAAATTTTATATAAATAGAAATTATTAATATTTCTCTAAAATTCTCTGATGTTATATCTATTTTATATTTTTTAATTTTTATTATTAATTTTTAATAAGTTGACTAATCAATTATATCAGTCTTCTTTATGAAATTTATTGTATGTTAAACAATAAATACTTATTTTATATTTTAATTTTTTTACGAATATTTTATCTACTATTAGTATTATCTAAAAATATTTATATGTATATGAATTTTTAATATTATATTCTATATTCTATATTCTTTATAACATATCAATCTTAATTAGAATAACATCTATTTATTGAGAATACATAAATAACTTAAGTAATGTATACGAACTTAATATTAGTATATATATGGTATAAATATAATTGATATCGATTAAATAATTTTTTTGAAGTAGTATAATTTTATTTGCACATAATAAAATCGCTTTTATAATTAGAAAGCGAAATATCAAATTGTTGATAAATCATAAGATTAGAATGTATGAATACATATTTTCATATAGTAACGAAAATTACTCTCTTAGTGATAAAAACATCATGAAATATGACATACATGTTTTAATTGTCTTGAAATTAAAAAATTATAAGTTATTAGCTCTCGTTTATATTATTATTATAATGACACATTTTTATTAATTTTACGTACTATTCCGAAACTTTCAATTTTCATTTCGTATAATCCCGCTGCTGTTAATATACATGGTTTGTTGGATCTAATTTGCATTATATGAAGTACTTTTTGAACTTTCATTGGTATTTTGTACCATTCAGAATCATATCTAATGTGAAATTCATAAATTTAAACTTTTCAATTTTCTTTATTATATAAATATAATATAAAAAACTTACATTTTATCAGCCAATTTTGAGCTTTGATTGAGTAATGTTTCTCCAGGCAAACTAATAGCGTATAAATGAAATTGTTGAGCTATAACGTAAATAACAGCCCTGATGGCCTCTTCCGGTCGATCTAAAAATACAACTACCTAAAAAATAAATACAAATATGTTTATTAATCATTTTTTAATAATTATTCATTCAAATAATTTTATTGTAAAATATAAATTTGAGAAATCTCTTATTGCAAAATAAATAAATATAATATATGTATTCTTACTTCAACACATGTCACGCTGATAATCATTATATTTAATCCCATCTGGATCAAATATAAATTTCTACAACACTTCTCGAGTACATCGTAAAGTCTTAAAAATGAGACAAATAAAACTTTTAGTTTGGATTAAATTATTTGTTATTAATTATTAATTTTAAATAATTGGTACAGACTGAAGACATTTATAATGCATTATCACGCATTGTTTGAATTCTTCGTAATCAATGTTGCTTATGTTAGGTCCATTTTTTTTAATAGTATGAACTTTTGTTAATTTTTGAATCTGATACCTATATGTATTTATAATAAACATTATTATTTAAAATTATCAACATTAATAAATGTAAGTATATTCGAATTATAAAAGAGATATGTATTATTTATAAGTTATATATTTATATAAGTTTATAAGATATATAAGTTTATAAGATTATAAGTTATATAAATATATAACTTATATATATTTGTTTTTTGATTATACATTATTTAATACCACATTGAATATTTACCCACATGCTGCAAACAATCCACAAGCATGGTAAATAATAGAAATGTATAACGAATCTACTGAGATTATTATTATTACAATAATAGCCGCAGAACAAGATAAATGCATATACACAATATAAAAATATTCATAATTATCTAGAATTATGTAATTAACATTAAATATATTTTGTCGTGGTCGGGTTTCATTTAACGGTAAAATAACATCCAGAATAGGATTACATAAAGGAAGAGAGAGAAATATTACAAGAAAAGTTAATAAACTTCCTAGAAGAAATATTTTTATTATTGTATATTGAATTAATATTGCATAAAATATGTATGAGAAATTACTTCTATGATCTTAACTTACTCCTATACAGGAGTGCAAGTTTACTACCATATTGAGTAAATTTGTGTAGCATGATTAATTCTTCTTTTGATTCTAATGATTTCCAATCTTGCGCCAAAGAGTAAAATAATTTTTTAAACTACAATATATTTGATTATTATATGTATATAATTGCAAATTTGTATCTATAAAATGATTTTTTTCAATACCTGCATTTTGTTAGAATAAATATTTAATATCTTTATCATGCTGATAATTACTGTAATTACTTGAGGTATATTCTGAATAATGTTATCGAAATCCTTATTACTTATGGCCTCCCATAATTGTATAGACTATCAAATTCCAATATTGTATAACAATATTATTTGCTTTATTTAAAAATTGCGAGATATTTTCTCACATTATTTTTTCTTATTTTTTTATTCATCGATTAATAATTATTAAAAAATGACATAATATGCTCTTCTTACCGTTGGACAAAGAAAGCTCATGCAAACGGAGATTATCATGACTATTATAATTATACTAATATTATTATTTTGATACGGATTTATCCCACAGATCGTTAAATATAATTTGAGCGTTTTATAATATTCAATATCGAATACGTTATATTCTTGTTCGTTGCTCTTCTGTAACACTGAACATTGTTGTTTAAATTAAAAATTTTATTTAGTCATTTACAAAAAAAGATATTGGAAAAAATTATATATCATAATAAAATAAAATATTTCAACTCAATTCCAATCCAATTTCTCGAACAAATAAAATGTTTACAACGAATATCGAATAGATAGTGTTAATAATAACTATTGTGATAAAGTTATCTTAAAAATTATGATATAGTACATATTTTTTTCTTACTATTTAGATTTACGAATTTTTGAGACAGGAAAACTACTCAGGAAATCTATTGCAATCAATGTAGCAGCACACTGTTCATAAAACTGTTTCGATAAACATCATCTAAGCTCTTTTTTATAGAATCATAGAAAATTATAAATAGGGATTATTGAAATTTCGATGTATACTCAAATTATTTACATTTATAATTAACTCAATATTCTGTATCGATGAAAATGTGTAATTTTCATTGTACAGGTATGTATTAAGATATCGTTTTTAAAGTATGATATTATTTCGTAGATAAGAAAATAATAGCAGTGTCTAAGGCATCAATCAATTGTGTTGGAAATCAATGACTCTTATTACTCTGAAATACTCTGAAATATTGATCTGGATAATTGAAATATAATGTTAGCAAAAATTTTTCAATCAAAATCTTTGAAATCTTTTGAATTTTTAAACAAAGTATACGTTCTCATCCAAGATAAATTTCATTTACTGTGTTGTAGATTCGCGTTATACATTGTTCAAAATAAACTATTATGACAATAGTAAGATGCAAAAATAAAACATTACATAATAAAATAATTACATAATAATTACATAATAAAATAATTGATAATTGAAAATCAATGTTGTCAAAAATTTAAATAATATTTGAGCAAGAAAATAAAAAAAAATTCCAAAAAAAAATTTTTCAAGAATGTGAAAAATACATCAAATAAAAAATTGTATTTTTGAAAAAAATATTACGAAATGTGAAGTATATCTATATACAATAATTTTTTCAATTTTAATTTTAAAATTTTTTTCTTTTGGAAAAAAGAAAATAGAACAAGAATATTATTATCTTGTAAGAATAATAATATAATGATTTTAATTAAATTATATTCATTTAACATACATATTTGGGTAAGTTTTCTAATACAATTTATTATAATTTATTATTAAAATACATACTATCCATGCATCGTATGGAAAATATGATTAAGTAACCTTAATAAAATCATTTAAACTTTTCAACAATATATATTAACAATACATATTTGTTTTATTATTCTTGATCAATCTGGACACAAAACAATGAAGTCATGAACTAAATATTTTTGACGTATTCTTATTTTTTTAATGACATTAACATCGTGAAATATGACATGCAAGTTTTAAAGGTCTTAAAATAAAAATGACCGTATAAATGTTAATAAATATGAATTATAAATAATAATTCTATAATTATTACATACTATTCCGAAATTTTCCATGTTCATTTCGTATAATCCGCCCGCTGTCAATGAACACGGCTTTTTACTCCTTATTTGCATTATGTGGAGTACTTTCTGAATTTTT